AACAGCAGCAGCAGCAGCAGCAGCAGCAGCAACAGCAGCAGCAGCAGCAGCAACAGCAGCAGCAGCAGCAATGCATGCATGCGCTGCGCCTCCAGGTGGTTTGGGGGGGCCCCCAAGTGGCCCCTGAGAGGCCCTCGGCTTGTCAAGTTTCGTTTCGGCTCAAAGACTTAAACCTGACTGCAGCGTGAGACCCTAAACCCTAAACCCTAAACCCTAAACCCTAAACCCTAAACCCTAAACCCTAAGCCCTAAGCCGCTTCGAGAGGAGAGGTCTTTGCAGCTGCGCCTTTAAACACTTCTTTTGCTGCGGCCTTTCCCAGCTCCAGCCAAACCCCACACAAATTTGCTGTGCATGCATGCATGCATGCATGCGACACTGAGGTGCTGCTGCTGCTGCTGCTGCTGCTGCTGCTGCTGCTGCAGGCAGCAGCAGCAACTGAAGGCAATTGTGGGGCCGGAGAGGCTGGTTGGGGACTTTTGCTGCTTGGAAGCAAATATCTTCCCGGAGCTGAACCAAAATGCTGCTTTCTTGGGTAACGTCTCTTGCTGCTGCTGCTGCTGCTGCTGCTGCTGCTGCTGCTGCTGTTGCTGCTGCTGTTGCTGCTGCTGTTGCTGCTGGACTTTCCTTGTGGCTTCCTTGTTGGGTCTTGTCGCCAACTTCATCAGTTGATTCATTTTGCCTATTTAGTAGCCTTTTTATCTACTTATTTATTTATTTATTTATTTATTTATTTATTTTATTATTTTTTCTTTTTTTTATTTATTTATTTATTTATTAAAATACTTTAAAGTGCTGCTGCATGCGCTGCGCCCTTCTGCTGCCACGCAGGCGACTCTCTGGAGCTCCTTATGCGGGAGATACGCAAAGTGTAACCTAGCTAGCTAAGCAGCTAGCTAGCCAGCTAGCTAGCTAGCTAAGCAGCTAGCTAGCTAGCTAAGCAGCTAGCTAGCTAGCTAGCTAAGTAGCTAGCTAGCTAGCTAAGTAGCCAGCTAGCTAGCTGGCTAGCTAACTAGCATTTTGGAGGCTCACTTTTAGCTTGCTGGCTAGCTATTTAGCTAGCTACCTAGCGTCGTAGCGAGCTGCGTTATCACCCAGCTAGCTAACTGGCTGAGTAGCTAGCTGGCTAGCTAGCTAGCTAGCTAGCTGGCTAGCTGGTTGGCTAGCTAGCTAGTCAGCTAGCCGGCTAGCTAGCTGCTTCCGGCAGTGCGTCTTGCTACGGAGCTGCAGCAGCAGCAAGACGCATGGGTTTCGAGTTGCATGCACTTAAGAGACAAGTTTTCAAATGCATGCACTGCAGCAAATACTTTTTGTCTTTTTAAAAAAATTAGTTTTGAATTTGATTTCCTGTTTTGTTCTGAAGCGCATGCAGCGCGAGTGCTGAGGTGTACGTACACCCCAACTGCGCAAGGTAGACAGAGCTCCCGCAGCTCTCGGGAGTGATGAAAAAGAATTAAAAAGAAATAAAAATGAATTTCTTTTCTTTTTTATATTTAAATTTACTTTGCAGCAAATAAACATCTCTGGGTTCGGGTGTATGTACACCCGCGCGCAAGCACTGCATGCACTCATTTATGAACACAGAAGTGACCCGAAGGTTTATTTGTGGACATTCCTTTATTTCAATTATATTTATATTTATTTTTATTTGCATTTATTTATTTTTTATTTTATTTGCGAATATATGCATGCAGTGTGCATGCAAGGACATGCAGAGGGCTCAGAGCCACAAAAAAGGAAAAAAGAAAAAAGACAAAAGATGAAAAAAAGAAATGCAAAAAGACAAAAAGAAGAATTATAATTCAACCAACAAAGACCTCAAGTGCTGCCAACTAAAAAGGATTTTAATTTGAACTTCTAAAAGTGGAAAGTGCATTTTAATTGCCGACACTGCGCCACACTCTGCGTGGTGTCTGTACACCTCAACGCGCAGCCAGCCACTCCGCTGCAGCAACAGCAGCATCAGCGCTGCAGCAGCAGCAGCGCTGCAGCAGCAGCAGCTCTGCAGCAGCAGCAACGCTGCAGCAGCAGCACTGAAGGCATGAAGAGTTCTTTTGTTGTGTCTCTTATGAATAAAGTTTTATTTTACTTTTTTAACTTTCTAAATCTTGCTGCTGTTAAAGTGTGGCAGCAGCAAAGCAGCAGAGAAGCAGCAGCAGCAAACAGCAACAGCAGCAGCACTGCAGCAGCAAAGCCGCAGCAAAAAAGGACTGCAAAGGGAGAGCAGCAAAAAGCTAAAGAGCATTGACTAAGAACGCAGACACAATTAATTAAACAGACAAAAGAACAAACAAACCCCCAAAGTCCTCTGCTGCTGCTGCTGCTGCTGCTGCGTTTGCTGCTGCTGCTGCTGCCCCCACAAAGCCAAAAGTGTCCCGGCCGACGCCCCTTCAACACCGCTGTCGCTTCAGCAGCAGCTGCAGCAGCAACAGCTGGTACAACAGATGCAGCAGCAGCTGCAGCACGTGAACCAGCAGCTGCAGCAGCAGCAACAGCTGCTGCAATAACAGCTGCAGCACGCCGCTGCACACAATTCGAGCAACAGCAGCTGGCGCGACAGCTGCACCAACAACAGCTGCAACAACTGCAGCAGCAGCTGCTGCAGCAGCAGCAGCTGCAGCAGCAGCAGCTGCTGCTGCAGCAAAGCTTCCGACTCTATTTGTGAATTGCCGCACAACTGCGCGGGCAGCAGCAGCAGGCCTGAGGTGTACGTACACCTCAACGCCCCTCGCCCTCGCGCCCCAGCAGCAAAATGAAAGCAGCAGCAGTTTAATTAAAGTGCCAAGCGAGTGCCTCCGTGCAGTCTACCACTATCTAGCTGCTGCTGCTGCTGCTGCTGCTGCTGCTGCTGCTGCTGCTACTCCCGTCTTGTAGGCGAGACTCAGCCTAGAATTGCCTGTTGCTGTGCAGTCTGCGACACACTGCCACGCAGCGAGGGCCCTGCAGCAGCGCCCGCGCTGCAGCAGCTGCAGCAGCAGCAGCAGCGCCGCTGCAGCAGCAGCAGCAGCAGCAGCGCCGCTGCAGCAGCAGCAGCCCCGCCGTCGCATGTCTGTGTTCGCTTTGTCCCCTGCGTCCAGTAGAGCTGGCGAAGCC